CACTGGAGCCACATTGGGGCCATCGTGGAAGCGTGTCAGGGCCATCGTGGACACGTCCTCCTCAGGCCATGGCCATGTCTTCTAAGTGTAGGGTTATAGGGCTATTGTACACCTATGGAGCTATATGGCTTTAGGGTGATAGGGCTGTGCGGATGTATCAACGGGGCATGTGTCCGCATTCTATCTAGACGCTTCGCGTATCCCCACCAGCCCATCCAGAAACGACGCCCAGGAACATTGACAGAAGAAGGGAAGCAGAGACGCACATAGTAGTGAAACAGAGCAGGCAACAACGATGAATTGGGATATAGTTGTGGCGAAGGTTGAACGTGTTATTGATGGTGTTATTGATCCTGATGGTATTGCTGCTGCTGTTGTTGCTGATAGCGCTGCTGACGTTGCTGATGGTGGTGATGGTTCTCGGATAATGCGTAGGCGGATAAAGGGGCGGGGAGGAGAAGGAGAAGGAGGAGAAGAAGGAGGAGGGGGAAACATGACGAACATACATAAGATCATTTTAGGACGTATATTCTTGGGAGTTGCGTTGGGAACCTCGTGGGGCGTCTGATTGGGGGTATCACGGGTGCCTCGGGGATCGTCGTGAAGCATCTTCGGGGTCTCGTGGAGATCTCATGAATGCATTTCGGAGCCCCCTTGGGATATCGCTTGGGCGGTTTTTGGAGGCCGCGTGGGACGTCGTCGCGGGGGTCTCGCGGCGGTCCTGAGGGACTCGCGGGCGTCTTGGGTGCTTCGGGGAGGCCTCGCGGGGCCGCCTGGGGCCCTCGCGGGGGTCTCTTGGGGGCATCGTGGGGCCGTAGTATTGTTGGGGCCATTATCGCGGGGCTGTATGGGCGCATCGGGGGGCCATCTTCTTGGAGGACATCGATCAAGAAAGTGGGGGCCCTAATAAGTACGGCCCCCCCTCCTCGGCGGGCGCTCCTAAAATTGTATCATGGACCCATATTTGGGCGCTATTGGAGCGCTCTTGGGCACTATTATTGAGCTCATACTACTAGGGCTATTATGGGCCCATCTTGGGGACAGCCTGGGCCATCGCGGAGCCATCTTGAGGCGCCGGATGGCCATCGGAAGCGAAACGAAAACGAGAAGGCACATAATATCAGTGGTTTACCTTCGGTGTTTGAAGAAGTGCGGCTTCTTGGGGGCATCATTCGTCTTGGGAAGTGGGTTGGCATATCAGTGGAACCATCGTGGGCCGACATTGGGGCCTATTGGAGCATCTTCGGCTGCATATTTAGGAATATTGTTATTCGGATATAACAATATTGAGCCATCTTGTAGCCAATCGTGACTATCTGGGGCGATATTGGAGCTGTCGCGGGCCTGCTTGGGCGCCCCAACACGTCGCGAATTCTCCTGTCCAGGTCCAGGGGAGGGGGTAGGGGGAGGAGCAAACCCTTCCCCGAAGAAGGGGAAGAAGGAGTTGGAAGAGGAAACTCTATAATAAACCACCTACGCCCACAAGGAGGGCTGGTGGGAGTTGTCACCCCCGACGTTCTGGGGTACACTAGAAGATTATACGACCCAAATTATTGCTTCCAGGGGCTGGGGCCGTTTTTTTGCATATCCAAGCGTCCTCAAGGAGCCATCGCGGGGCCAGCTTGGGCCATCTATCTCGGGGCCATCGCGGGGCCACCCCACCCGCCGCCCACCCACCACGCACACGCCTACTACTACTACCACCGCCCACCCACCACCCGCGACGACCCACCCACCCACCACCCACCCACCACCCACCCACCACCCACCCACCACCCACCACCAACCACCCGAATATGATTGGAACTCAAAACGAGGACCTCGGAAATCTCAGCCAGACACCGACATCATCGGCGGGGCACGTTCGCCAAATCGTTCAACCTCCGCGTGGGCCCCTTCTCCAGCGCAAGCACTGATTGGGGAGGGTCGGCTTTTTTCCTGTCGAAGAAGTGTGAAACAAAAAGCTGGACAGGGAGGCCACCACGGGAGGTCCGGGTTGTTTTCGACCTGTCCCTTCGTAGCAGCCTGCTCCCGCGCAGCGACTGCCCACAGCATCAGTCAGCGCGGCGAGGCTGAGCGCGGCGCCCACCGCCGCGCCCCTGAACTTGACAGGGGTACAGGGCGGCAGGGCGACAGGGGCAGCACAGAAGGAAGGGTGATGATGATGATGATGATGATGATGATGATGATGATGAGTTCATGCATCGCCAACAACATGACCCAACTTGTTCCCTACCTCCTAGGCTCTGCCTAGAAGATAAAGGGTTCTCACTCGCTGGGCTTACCCAGTCCCCGCCTTGCGGTTCTCCCAGTAGTAGTTGCACCCACGTATTCCAGCGTTGCGTATATCATCTTAGCCCAGCTTAATATTGCTTAGCTTAACGTAGTCTCATCATCTTAGCGTCGCGTAGCTGTAGCTTACCTTACCTTAGCTTAGCATAACATAACCCAGCGTAACATAGCATAGCGCAGCATAGCATACCATGGCATAGCACAGCGCAGCATTGCACAGCATAGTAGCATAGCATAGCGCAGCAAAGCATAGCATATCATATCCTAGCATAACAGAGCGCAGCCTAGCGTAGCATAACATCATAGCGCAGCACAGCGCAGCATAGCATAGCACAGCACAGCATCCACTACTTTTTTGCTGCTGCTAGTAGAGGCTCCAACTCACTCCTCCTAGGTAGGGTCGCACTGGGACAATTTCAGAACAAGTCAGCGCCTTCCGAACACCAACAGGGAGGGAAAGGGAGGAGGATGACGGGGGGGGAAGGGGGAGGAAGAGAGAAAAGGCTCGCCGGGCCCATTCGGCCGCCTTCAGAACGAAGGAGGAGGAGGAGGAGGAGGAGGAGGAGGAGGAGGAGGGCGAGCACAGCTTGCTGACCAAAATCATTTTTTTTCAATTTGTTTTGGGGGGGGTTGGCGAGAGCCGCGTGCAAAAAAGATAGCGCTCTCGGCAGCGGTGGGCGCCCACCGCCGGCGAGGGGGGAATTATTTCTGATTCCGCAGATGGCGAGAGCACATCTTGATTTCACACCCTCCCTCGGCAGCTGCGGTTTTCAAAAAAATTGTTCCCTCGGCAGCGGTGGGCGTCCACCACCGGCGAGAGCTCAATGATTTTCACGACGACATCTCGGCAGAGCCAACCTCAGATTTTGTCGGGATCAGGGTTTCCGAAAAAGAAAATTGAAACGGGGCGGAGGGCGATGAAAATAGGGAAGCCACGCTGCAAGGTTGCATGGCCAATCGATGGGGCATGGCTTCGGACCCCGCCGCCCCCCCCGTGGAAAGGATCGATGGGCCCCAAGTGGGGCGATGTCATGATGGTGATGATGATGATGATGAACCATCGTTGCCCCGCCCCAGCATGGTGGCCCTGCTGTCTTCGCAATAACATGTTGTTAGAAGAAACCTAGAAGCGGGGGAGGGGGGGGGTGATGATGGGGAGGGGGAGGAGGCGGAGGATAAGGAGGAGAAGAAGAAGAAGGAGGGTCAGGTATCATTATCACAACAACCCTGCACGTTGCTGCGCCACGGCATATCATAGCAGCGCAATCCTGAGAACAGCAGCAGCACTGAGCACCGTGCTAATCATCACACCAGCCTCCTGGGCGTAGGTGTTGTTTGTTTGGGGAGTTGCCTCTTCCAACCTCATTTTTCCCCGTCGGGGGGGGGGGTATTATTTTACCCCCCCCTACATCTGCCCCTCCTGGACCTGGACGACGGGTTTTGCGACGCGTTGGAGTGTCCGAACAGAGGGCCCAAGACGGCTCCAAGAGCGCCTTGCAGAGCCCAAGATGAGCTACAAGATGGCCCAAGCTGATGCTAGCATACTGTTATTCCTCATCATCATGATGCATCCGAAGATGCCCCAAGCGGCACCAAGGCCGCCCCAAGAAGAAGACGGCTCCAAGAGGCCAAAGAACTTCACAAGGAGGCACCCAAGAAGAAGCCAACATCTTTCAAACACCTTAGAAGGGAAACCACTGATGTGCGCCGTCTCGTCTGTTCGTTTCCGATGGCCACCCGAGGCCTCCAGATGGCCCCACGCGGGCCCAAGAAGAGGGCCCCGATGGGGCGCCCAAGAAAAGAGCCCCAGGACGACGGCCGCAAGAGCGCCCAACAAGAGCGCTCCAGGAGCGCCCCAAGAAGAGGGGTCTAGGATCTAGGACGCGAGTTTAGGAACGCCCGAGGGGGGGCCGCGACAATAATTAAGGAACCACCCTTTTTTTGATCGCTGTCACACGAGAAGATGGCCCCACGAGGCGCCCAGGAGGCCCCCAGAAGAAGAGGCCACAAGATGGCGCCGAGATAGCCCCAGATGGCCCCTAATAAAAATAATAAGGGGCCCCCAATATACCCCTAAGAGGACCCCCGCCGGCCCCAAGAGGCCTCCCTGGGGCACCCAAGGCGCCCAAGAGCCCCTCAGGACCGCGAAAAGACCTCCAAGACGTCCCAAGAGGCCACCAACAAAGCGCCCAAGAGATATCACAAGGGGCTCCGAGAGGCATTCAGGAGATCTCCAAGAGACCCCGAAAAAGCTTCAAGGTGATCCCCGAGGCGCCCAAGAGCTCCCCCAGACGCTCCAGGAGGTTTCCAAAACAACTCCCAAGAAACATCATAAGAGGATCTTATGCTCGTAACGTTTCTTCCTACTTCTTACCATTGGGTATGTTATCCTCCTCCTTCTCCCCCTCCCCCCCCATTATTATCATTACTACCCGCCTACGCATCATCGGAGAACCAGCAGCAACAGCACTGGCAGCAGCAACGGCAGCAGCAGCAGCAGTACCAGCAGGTGCAAGAAGAGCACCAGCAGTAACACTTGCAACCTTCGCCACAAAAGATCTCCCAACTCACCGGAGTTACCCGCTCTGGTTTATGTGCGTCTCTTCTTCCCTTCTTCCGTCAGCGTTCCTGGGCATCGTTTCTGGATTGGTTGGTGCGGATGATACGCGAAGCGTCGAAGCAGCATCACCTGCTGCAGCCTCTAATCATCAATTAACGGGGTTCCTCAACGTCGCAGCGAAGAAACCCATCGCCTTGAACATCTGAGTCAAGATCCGCGCCGTCGCCTTCACGTCCATCGAATTTCCGACCATCATTCTCATCTGGCGATCTGACACGCGCTCCGGCCTGACGAGGCGCGCTGTGCCCCGCTCGATGCCCTGGAGCTTCATCATCTCGTTCAAATTGAGATACCTACTGCGGGAAAACAACCAGTAAGAATTCCCTCCTGCGTGTTGGCGGGTTAGGCATGGGCACGCGTTCTTCATCAGGTTCACCCTCCGAGTGAGGCCCATCATGAGGTCGCCAACGTAGTTTCCTCTCTTCAACTTGCTCGCTGCGTTCGGGCCGCCGATCTTCTCCAGGCACTTCGTGTAGTTGGCGAGGGCGGTCCTGGATTCCGGGAGGGCGGTGCCTTTGTTGTCGGCATCGAGGTACTTGTCCAGGGGATCCACGGCGAGGGCGTCGGCGGGCCACGTGAAGCAGCCGAATTGCTCCTCCAGCGATTTCCATATGCCGACTATGAAAAGCCGGCGCCGGGAGTGGGGGAGGCCAGATGTAGTCTGGGAGTCTAGAACCTTGTAGTACAAGTTGTAGCCCTTGGACCCTTTGCCCTTGATCTCCTGGAGGGCGGACAAGATCTTGTGGAATGTGTGCGCGTGGCTGGTGAGCAGCCCTTCGACGTTCTCTAACAAAAACCCTTTGGGCAACAGCGCCTTGATCCCAGCCACCACGTACTCGGCAATGGAGCGATGATCGTCTGCACCAAAACCATAGCCTTCCATCGAGAAGGGCTGGCACGGGAAACCTGCCGTCAACAAGAAGAGCTGGTCATCAGCGGTGATGGCCTTAGCGAGCTGCTGCATGTTGATGCCCTTGATGTCGCCGAAGACGTTGCCGCGGCGAAGGCCACGGTGGTTCTTCTCGAGAACCAGGCGGCATAATCCGTCAACATCACATGCGAATGCGTTCTCGAACTGCGGCGCGATCCTCAAGGACTCCAGCGCCAACCACGGGGCGTCGTAGCCCGAGCAGAAACTCCCGACCAGATACTTGCCATTGCTGCCCAACGCAACCTGAATGAAGGGAGGCGCAGCACAACAACGGGGCGCGGCTGCAAAAACAACCCAGTCATCTCAACAATCGTTTACGTGGGCGGCGCCAAAATGGCGGAGGCGGAGGAGGCACTCGGATGCCACTACAAAGGGGGCACGCAAGTAACATCTTTTCGGGGCGTGAGGTTGGGCATTGTTTGCACGCCCTCCTATCATTTCCCCGTCTCCTCCTCCTTGCAATTTGGCACGCGCCCGCAATGATTCAAATGGAGAGACGTTTGAAATTCTCAACGCTTCGCGTATCCCCACCAGCCCATCCAGAAACGATCAGCAGGGGGGCCGGTGAATCAGGGGCGGCAGAACGCATGCAGTCGCACAGCCGTCTTCGAGAACACAATCATCACACATAGCTTCCCGCATTGAAGTTTAAGGTGGCAACCGGTGCAAATTACGATGGTGCTTCGAGAGGTGAGGGGTATTATTTCGATGACTCGCAATGGCTGTTGCACTGATTCCCTACCTAGGCTCTGCCTAGACGGGTTCTTACCCTGTGTGCTCAAGGGGCTGGGCAGTGCTCCCCGCCCTGGGTGCTTCCCCCAGGGCCCGCCCCGCGGTTCTCCCAGTTGCGCCCCCTGGGCTTACCCAGCTTAGCTTGGCTAAGCTTAGGTTAGTTAAGATTAGCTTAGCTTGGCTTAGATTAGCTTAGCTCCGCTTAGCTTATCTCATTTTAGCTTAGTTTAGCTTTGCCTAGCCTAGCCTAGTTTAGCTTAGTTTAGCTTAGCATAGCTTGGCGTACCTTGACTTATCTCACCTTAGCTTAGCTTAGCTTAGCTTTGCTTAGCTTAACTTAGCATAGCTTAGCTTACCTTAGCTTAGCGCAGCATAGCGCAGCTGCTAAGCATTAGCACAGCATAACATAACATAGCATTGCCACGTATATCATAGCATAACTTGCATAGTATAGCATAGCGCATCATTGTATAGCATAGCGCAGCATATCATATCATACCATAGCATTGCAGTGGTTAGCATAGCACGGCGCAGCATATCATGGCATAAAACAGCAAATCATAGCATATCATAGCGCAACATGGCATAGTATAGCATAGCATTGCATGGCATAGCATAACGCAGTATATCATAGCAAAAACCAACATCAATGCGAACTTGTAGATGTACATGTAGATGTAGGTGTAGATGTGGTTGTGGATGTAGGTGTAGATGTAGATGTGGATGTAGATGTGGATGTAGGTGTATATGTAGGTGCTCATGTAGATGTAGATGTGAGTTTCGCTGTTGATGTTGGTGTAGCTGTAGATTCAGGTGTGTATGTAAATGAAGCTGTCGGTGTAGATGTAGATGCTGCTTTCCTAAATGCTCCAACTCCTAGGTAGGGTCACACAGGGATATTTTGAATATTAAACTCGCGTGCGTTCCGAAACTTGGAGACATCTTGGGGCCCTCTTGGGATTATCTTGGGCCCCTCTTGGGGCATCTTGGGGCTCTTTCTTGGGGCTATCATGAGGTCCTCTTAGGGCCTTTGTGGGGCGCTCGTGGGGTCCCATTGGGGCATTATTGGAGCCCTCTTGGGGCTCTATTGGAAGGTCGCGGGGCCATCTTGGGGCTCTTTGGGGGAGTTCTGGGAGGCCTCGCGGGGCCGTCTTGGTCCTCATGGCTAAAAAAGAAGAACAGGGGGGGGCGGGCAATTCTCGCCCACCCCCTCCCCTCCCCATTCGGAAGCTCAAGCGTGCAGTCTTGGGACCATCTTTTTGGCCCGTTCTCGGAGCGCTCTTGCTTGGGCGCTCATCTTGGGGCCGTCTTGGGGATCTCTTGGGCCCTTCGCGGGGCTGCATTGTGCCATCTTGGGGCCATCTTCTCGAGGCCTCAAGAGCCCGTCGGATGCGAAAAAGCGATAAGCCAAAACACATAGATGTCCCTTCGGTATTTGAAAGATGTTGGCTTCTTCTTCTTCTTCTTCTTAGGGGGGTCATTGGAGGCCTCGGAGGGCACTTGAAACCGTCTTGGGGCCGTCTTGAGGCCTCTTGGACGCGTGTCTGAAGCTATATTGACCCGTCTACCGCTATCTTGGGCCATCGTGGAGGCCATATTGCGCTCTCGGAGGCCCTCTTGGAGCCATCTTGGGCCATCTTGGACGCTGCTATGGGCCCGCCTCCCCCCCCCCCCCGTCCAAGCGCAGGGGGGGGGGCAAACCTCCCGAGCAGGGAAAGGCAGGAGGTTGGAAAGGGAAGCGCCCTAGTAGACCACCCGCGCCCAGAGGGCTGGTGTGATATCAGCACCCTCCTCCTCCTCATCCTCCTCCTCCTCATCCCTTCCCTCTCCCCGCGACCTCCCCGGCCGCCCTGATCATCTTCCAGCCCCGCGACCTTCCCAGCTCTCCTCCCCCCCCCCCTCCTCGCCATCCCCCCTCATCATCATCCTCATCCTTCTTATCTTTCTCCTTCTCCTGCCCATCATCTTCCTCCTGCCCGGCGGGCCCCCCCTGACTTTGGACCCCAAGTTGGGCGGCGCGATTGGAGAGGAGGCGGTTCGACCAGCCCGCGGCCTGGCCGACAGCTCCGCACACAGCGATGGGGTCCGGGACCGGGATTGGATGGCGCCGACTCGTTGTTGGCGTCGAGGCTGGTCGCTTTTTGGTGATCATTCTGGCTGCGGCGGCGGGCTTCTTATTCGTCATCAGCATCGCCCGCGGCCGGCCGTTGGGGCGTCGTCGTCGGGGCTCCTCAACAGCATCGGAACCCCAATCTGCGTCCATCACCGGTTGTTGTTGTTGGGGGCAGCCAGCAGCAGTAGTAGTAGCAGTAGTAGTTGGCGCCCCGCGACAAAAAAAAAACCTTGGACGGGCTAGGAAATGGCGCGGGCGGGGGCGAGGATGATGATGGGGAGAAGGCGACCCTCATTGTAACAGTTGGTGATAGGGCCCCTTCAGCGCAAGCACTGGCTGGGATACCACGCGGCGCTGAGGCCCCATCGGCGCAAGAGGAAGGGCCCCCTCAGCTCAAACGTTGATTGGACTCCATGCAGTCTTCTTTTCCCCTCAGCATGCAGCAAGCGGGCTCTGTGTTTTTGTGTGTATGTAGCGTTAGATGCATGTGTGGGATTTGCCCCTGGCCCTGGGAATGTATAGCGCTATTCAAGATGATGAAGAACTCGTCCGCCGGGGCCCCGACCTTCCCCCAGTCCGCTCCGAGAGGGCCTCAACAAGAGGGCTCCAAGGGGGCTCCAAGACGTTCTGCTGGGATGTGATGCGCGACGTTTGTTGCTGCAGCGTGCTGTTATCTCTGCGTGGTACGTGTTGTTGTTGGCGGTGCGTGCTATGCGATTTTTGTTGGCGGTGTGTCATGTGTGGTTCGTGATGCGCCAGTTCCGTGAGCACGTGGTTGTTGTTGTTGATGTGTATTGTGTGACTTACTTGTGTTGCTGGTGTGCGCCGTGTGATTTGATTTGTCGGTGTGTGTTGAGCGTGCTTTAGGGATGTTGTAGGGGCCGGGCTTCAATGGTGTTTTAGGGGCCAGGCTTTAGAGATGTTGTCGGGGCCAGGCCGTAGTGATGTTGTTTTAGGGGCCTGGCGTCAGAGATGTTTTGCAAGCTGGGCTTCAGGGGTGTTGTCGGAGGGGCCGGGCTTTGGGATGTTTTAGGGGCTGGGCTTTAAGAATGTTCCAGGGGTGGGTGTTCTGCGGTTTGTGCGAGGTGCGCGATATAGGACGAGCGAGGAGAGAATGGGGGTTCAGCGATGTTAACGAGGACGATCATAAGGAGGATGACGCCGAGAATGTTGAAGAGGAAGAGGAGGACATGTTGTTGACGAGGCAGCAACAACGCGTCAGACCGCATGGGGTTGTTGAGCCAGAGACATTGGCATGCAGTAAAACGGCCCCTTGAGGAAACGTTTCCTGGACCCCAGAGGGGAGACTTATCGATGCCGTTCACCGCGCCCCCCTTATCTCCGATCCCCGGGCCTCCGAGGATAGTGCAAGGGCTCCCCTAGTTCAATAGCGCGCCACCCTCTCTCCGCTCGGGCCATGTCTGCAAGCGCCGATTGGGGGGCAATGCGTGCGAGCGCACCATGTCTGCGCACGCCTGTCTGCTAGGATCCCCATCTTCAGTGCAAGCGCTGGGGGCTTCGGAGGAGGAGGGCTTCGGAGGAGGGCGGGGGAGGAGGGCTTCGGAGGAGCTTGGAGGACAATGTTGGTAATGTTTTGTGTCTACGCTTGATTCCATTGTTGACACTGCGTTGTGTTCAACGTCTTGCGATGGGCGTTGCGGGCAGCGCTGTCAAAACATTGGGAACTCAGGCACTATACGTCACAGCCCCATGATCTCATAGGCAGGCCCCTCTAGCATTATCTGAGCGCGGCGAATGCATCACCAGAAGAAGGAACTTGCATACGCAGCGTCGCACGCGCTGCTAGCTCAACTAAGATCGAGGAGATACAAGCAAGCTTCACGGGTCTTACTCGCTCGCCGTGCTCTCCTCAGCAGTGCGTGCGTGTGCGTTGCCAGACTTGGCCCACAAATCACGAGCTCAAAAAACATAATAATGGCCACCGCCTCGCTCAAGCAAGCGGAGGCGGCCACCATCCAGAGCGCGATGCTCAGGCGAACATCCTCGGTCGGCGGCGCGCACATGGTTCTTCTTAGCAGCCCTCCGAAGGCTTCTTAGAAACTCCGAAAGCTTGTAAAAAAAACGCTTTTCAGAAACCCTCTTCCCCCCCCAGCCCCTACCTGGGCGCCGCCGACCTACGCGCCGCCAGCAGCGCAAGCCAACCTACGAGCCGACACCGTCGGCAGAATGCGAGTCGCAATCTTCAGCATCCTCCTCATCATCGCCTCCACCACCGCCGCCGGCAGTGAGCTCCTCGATGCGCTTCAGCAGGTCCGCCTTCGACTGGCCTGAGCCGCCGCCGCGGCCACCGCCGCGGCCTCCTCCTCCACCGCCGCTGCCGACGGCATCATCATCTCCACCACCGTCTGCTGCACCACTCCCCGCGCCGCGACCGCCG